CAACACGAGCAGGAAACTCAAGCTGCAAATAACACCAATACAGCTTCTTCCGCTGACAAAATTACTGACCCTAAGAGAGTGAAGAGGTAATCTTGCATTCATCTTAGAGCTTTCTTAGCCCATAACCCAGTGGATGACCATGTCAGATTTTTAAAAGCATACAGATGCCGGGAATGATGTATTAGTATTAGAGTCTTAGCTACATTTTGTTTCCCTTTTTATTCTCTTTTGGATTAAGTTTGCTCGATTCAATAGGTATTATCCGTGTCTTCTGAAGAAAATATCGGAAATGATGTTACGTGCATTAAATCTGTGATTTATTAACTTCTCCTTCTGATGATGTTTTTGCCTTTTCTCATTGACTGCCCCGTGTTATTTAAGGCGAGAACTTCTTTAATCTGCCTCTGATTCTGGTTTTCCAACAGAATCCTGGCAAACAGACAATCTGCACAGAGGTCACGAGTGAGGAAGCTGCACTATATATCGGAGCTTGAACGAAGTGTAACTTCATTACAGGTGCGTTTCTGTAATCCAAACCTTCCAATTAATTTTTTTTTTTTTTTAGTTTTACACGGCATGGTTAAAGACTTAAAGTAATGGTTTTTCCATTCCGTTGACCAATGAAGGCCGAAGTTTCAGTGCTATCTCCGAGAGTTGCATTTTTGGATCATCAGCGATTGCTTCTAAACGTCGACAACAGTGCGCTGAAGCAAAGAATCGCCGCCCTGGCCCAAGACAAGATCTTTAAGGATGGTAATATCCTTTTGATTTAAACTATATTATCTACATTACTCGTGGCTAAGAAGCTAACAGAGTTCTTATCTTGTTTACCTATTCCGCTAATGGAGAGGTAATTTATTTAACAAGCAATTAATAGCAAAAATATTCGGCTAGAATATAACTGATCGTACTGTTAAAACATGTTGAAGATATTTCAAGGCTCAAAAAGCTATGAGATCTGAACCTTTCATCGAGATGTTCAAATTTCTTGGAATTATCATTGAGTTTAGAGTCACAAAAGTTGCACATGTCACTAAATCCGGAGATGCTTTTGTCTTCTTAATCAGTTCCAGGGGCTTCAATTGATTCTGCAATATATAAACACCATGTTCGGGTTCAATCAGTTTTAGCACATCAAGCGCATGAGAAGAATTAAAAATAAAATAAGAACATACACGATTTCTAGTGTGTAAGAATTAAAGCTGAAGATTCTGTACTTTTCAGTTGACACAGTGCCGTTATCGTAATGAGATCATGACAAAGCAGGGATGACATAAAGAAAAGGAGGAATGCACCACTAAGCTATCAGTTCATTGGATCAAGTTGGCTCTATAATTTGGAGAACAATGAACAAAGATTAATAAAACACATTAAAAAATATATCACTGTTGTTGAGTTTTTTTTTCCCCTCGTGAAAGCTGCACATGCAATTTCATTACTTTGGAAGGGAAACAGCCTAATTATGAAACCGGACAGACTTGTATTGATTTTAGTAAAAGCATTGCATGCACGCGCATTTAAATCTATGCCTGATCATGTGCCCTGCTCCCAAGTAGTTGAGTTTGCTTTAGCAAAGGCTGATATATTATCATTACTATTATTTATGCAGCTCATCAAGAGGCTCTGAAGAGGGAGATAGAGAGACTGAGGCAAGTATATCACCTTCAGAACCTCAAGAAAATGGAAAATGCCGCAGGGCCACCATCACCATCCTCATCTCCGTCACCAAACACAGAATGTGGTGCTAAGACAGAAAAGGAACAACTTCTCAACATCTGAAACCTCCCAAAAAGACTCTCCTAAAGTATGATCAAGTAGCTAATTTTACATCTCATGGAGTGATTCTTTTCATTATTGGATAAAAGATAATTGCAGTGTTTAGGAAGAGATGGGAGAAAAGGATAAAAAAAAAATACGGGGAAACGCTTTCTTCTGCGCCTGTAAGGTATTGAATGGTTATGGTACCACTGATGGGTCAGCGATGATGGGAATTTTTATTAGCCAACATGAAGAAAATATACACTGAGAGAGGCATCACATTGTTAGTGGGAGGCCATTGGGACGCTTCTGCAATCAACTGTGCTGTCACGTGATGTGCTACCTTTAAAGAAGGGGACCACTCAAAGTTTGCATGATTGGTATGCAGGGAAACACATGTGCACCAGTGGCAATCTAAAGAGGGTGGATGAAACTGTCTGCTTTAACTAAATTGTGTGAAGATACAATGAGATCATTCTTTCAGTTTTTTTATCATTGTCTTTGATTCTTTTCTTTCATTTCTTTTTTCTCTTCAACTTGGTGTTCTTTTTTTTTTTTTTGGATGGACAGTGTATTGTTAAGTCAAGCTGGAAAGCAATTACTAGTGGGGCCGAGTTGGAATAGATGAAAGGAAGGCAGGCATGTGAGTGAAGGGTCCTCTGGGTTTTGTTGTATTTTTTGTTTTCTTTCTCTTGCAGAGGAGGTCTTCAAAACCTGGATAAATTTGGATTTGTAAAGATTAAGTTCTGATTAATTTTAAAGACTGAGGTTATTATTATGTGAATTAGTAGCTCATAGGGAGCTTTGATGTATTCTGTTACTGCTCTCTTAAAATGTGATAATCTTTGTTTGAAAAATTAATAAAAAAAATGTAAATAATATCATCATGCGGTATCCATGGGCAAAGCTATGAAGTGCTTTTAGTTGTACAAACTTATTATCACAAATCTTCCCATTTGTATGAGATAACACTTGGGAATCTGTTTTGATCGATGCAAACGAAAAGACAAAGATGTCTTGGGTTTTCTTTTCCTCCGTATGTCATTGAAAAAAAACCTTGATAGCAAAGTTACAAATAATGATATATCTTGTTCTATTCGAATGCTTTATTGAATTTTTTGTATAAATGGCTTAATTAAAGTTTTAAATTCAAATGATTTTTTATATTTAAAATTGTGACAGAATAGTTACAATATTGTTTTCAGATTTGGATTTTAATTTTTTTTAATAATAAATTGTGTAGCTCATTCATGATGCATATAATTTTAAAAAAAAATGAGTCGTATTATTCTTATCTTATAAATAACATGGTTTATTTGTTAGAGTTTTTATGCTACTATATCGCAGTTCACAAGACCATTGAGAACTAATTTAAAGTGAACTGTGCTAGATGTTAATCCCTGTTGTTATTTAATAATGTGTATTTTTTTATTCCCTCTTATCACAATATAAATTATAATTAACTAATTCATAGTGTTATGAATAATATTAGTTGAATCATAGATTCTTAAAAATATTCATATTTTTTATTTATGCCCTCATTAAATATCTTATATAAGACCCTTAATAATAGTAATTAAAATTTCAATATATGATCTTTTCAAAAACAAATTAAATGAAGTAGGAGTATACTTGAAAAAATAAATATAAAAGTTATTTAATACCTTATATTTAGAACCATGCAATATTTTTAAAAAATGCCCTATATTATGATCTGAAGGAAATACCTTTTTAAAAAATATTTTATATCCACAAAATCACTTTTTATATGGCAAAAGGATCTAAAGTAAAATTTGCCAACAGCTCCTTCCTCTCATTCATTACTAATATACTCCCCCATCTTGAAACTTGCCTGCACAAAACTACATCGGAGAGGTAATCTAAAGGTTACATCCTTGTCAACCATTTTCTTCTGAAAGAGAAAGAGAATGATTCTAGTCAATCCCATATGTACACATGCATATATATATATATATATATATATATGATATGGGTTAGGTATTGCGTGCCAAAATCCTGACTAATATGTTTATCATTGCTGCTGGTTAAATTAAATACCTTCATCAGTAATCGTTGCCTATCTTGTTCCAGGTCGAAATTATTATTAACTGGCCAATAAAATGTAGGATTCAGTTTTTGCAAAACGGAGAGGACAGTAATATTGGGGGATTCGATCTCCCAATATTCCTGGCAATAATTACCCAAGTCAGCGTCGGGCGTCGCATTCCATGCTCATCGTCTCAAGGGCTCATCTGAGCCCTTGATTTTATTATCATGTAATTTCTATCATTCATTTTAAATTTTATTTTTTAATATTTTTAATATTATGTTATTAAAAAATTTATAAAAAATATTAAAATCTTAATATTAAATATGGATTGTCTCCTGAACTCAACAAGAGATGAATATCATGTTACTCATTTTAACTAATGAGATTTAGACTATTCAAATTTAAAAAATTTTATTTTTATTTTATATTTATCAAAATAAAAATAATAAATACTTTTAATTTATTTATAATTCATTTGGCCGGTGCAAATTTAATCTGAACCATCTAATTTATTATTAAAATTTTTATTTTTTTTATAAATTAATTATTCATATATCTGAATAGTATAGATATAATTTAAACAATTTAATTTAATTTTAAAATTTTTTATAATATTTATAAATTAACTATCTAGATGTATTCTAAACAATATAGATTTAATATTAAAAATTTTACATTTTTTTATAAATTTTTATTTTAATAACAAAATATTAAAAATATTGAGTAATAAATTTAAAATAAGCGATAGAAATCAATTAAGAATAAAATCAAAGGCTCATGGTGAATGAGCACGGAATGTGCTTGCCAATGGTCTCAACCTAATTTCAAAGTTTAACTATGTACTACACTTGGTATTGTACTTTGCTGACCAACCACACGGTACTGTACTTGGAATTGGAACTGCGTGGATAAAACATGCAAACGAAAAAGAAAAACCATACTAAATAGTTTGTCCTTCACGGCAACACCTCTGAAGAAAGCAAAAACTAGCATTTAGCATTGACCTTGATGAAGAGTTTCGCTTGATCCTCGACAACCATGCATTAACCTTTCCCCCCCGAACGAATTCTATTTTCTTATGGTCTTCCAGCCTCCCTCTATACAGCGTTCTTCAAAATCTCTCAATTATCTCAAATTCATTTCTTCTTGTTCCTGATCTTGCTCAAACGTGCCTATTCCAATTCCATCACACTCAGAACAGGCCCCCCGTACCAGGAACGTCATTGTAAAGAGGTTCACTGGCTTGTGGACAACGGATCCTGTATTCAGAGAACGCCTTCTGTGTTTCCTTTAAGGCTTTTCTGCAGCCCTCCAAGCGTTTTCCCATCATGTACACTTCCCTCTCGAGCCTATATACTTCCATTCGTCCCTTTTGACTCTCTTCAAGATGTGCCTCACGCAAATGCTCGATCATCTTATCACGATTCTGCAGCTCATTAAGCAGGAGTTGCTGGTTCCACGTAAAATTCTTCACAAGCCTGTGCCTTTGTTACATACATCATTCTAGCTTCTCCCATCAAACGTTGTATGTGCTCCATACACACGTCGAAGTCCACCGGCTTAGCACCCCAGAGGCTATCACTTCTCAGTCTCTTGTTCCTAACAGTTGGAGACTGATTGTTATGGTTATCCTGGCCAACATATCTCTTATGACCATTGCCAAAAAGTGACGGTCCAGAATCCATTTGAGCATCTTCTCCATAGGTGAAAAAATCTTCAGAATTGCCGCCCAGCCCATTCCCAGAACTAGAAGGTGTTTGCCCAGGTCCCATTGCCTGAATGAGACTTCCAGAAGGCATTCCCACCGAAGAAATTCTTGGAGACATCCCCCCCAAAAGAATGCACTCATCATCCTCATCCTCAAATTCTTCTTCCTTTGAACTCTTCAGGTCACCAACATTGCATTGCCTCAAGAAAGGCCATTGCCCAGATTCTTCCTTATAATAGCCCTCTACATCCAGAGTGTTCGGTCCCAACCTGCTCCTTTTCCACTTCAAAAATTTCAACATCATCTTGCCACTGGCTCAATTCAATATTATGCTCCCTCAACAACTCCCACTCCTTCTCTTCGTTAATCACCTCAATGTTCACCTTAGAGACTTCTTTGAGCAACTCCTCATGCTGTGTCTTAATCAAATGCTGCAGATGCGATGCATAGTAGCAGTTCTCTAACTGTGAGGCTTTCAACTCTTTGTCCAACATGCACCAGATCAATCCTGCCCAATCAATCATTTCCAAATGCCCTTCCTTGATCAACTTCATGCAAGCCAAAACCTCGGGAGGCATAATACACGCATCATCGTGTAAAAGCATCTACATTGACGCTAATTTTTCGATGAAAACCACTGCTTTCCCCAATTTTAGCACGTCCACCACATTTTCTGTTGAAGCCATAGTGTGTTCCATTGGTAACTTCAAAGCACGCCCCTAGTCCTCCCTGTTCACCATTATCTTAATCCCATTCACGTAACCGCCGCGCAAGTTAGGTGTATAATTGGCCATCAATTGCGCTAGAAGACCGCTGCGAATGCTGGTATCAAACTCGACATGAACAAAGTCCCAAAGCCCTAGTCTCCTCAGGAGTGACTCGCGGCTCTTGAAATCAAGGGCTTCAGAGGGTATGAATGGAATGGGTTTCAGGGATTTGACCAGAACTAGGAGCTTCTCCTCATCAGTAGATAGCTCTGGATTCAATTTATTCCGCTTCAGTCCCCTGTGGCAGGCAGTGGCGGCCACTGAATCAACGGTTTGGGGAGAGGAAACCGAATATCCTTGTGGATTCTGATGGAACCAAGCAAATAGGTTAGAGTTTTGATCATCAAGACATGGGGTTTCGGGGAATTGGGAATCAGAATGTGTGATTTTGTGGACGAAGGGCTAGGGGTTGAAAGGTCATTGTCTCAAATGGGAACCAAAGATTTGAGATAGGGCTAAGGGTCTCTAATGTGCTCTGTAACAGCCCTCCGCTCACCCCGCCTACCCGAGGTCTTTTGCGGCGCTGGACACTCTCCCCCCAGACCCCACAACATGGCGACCCCACCCCTTACGGTGAGCATCAGGAGACAAAGGCTTCCCCGCAGTAGTGTGCGGATTATTTCCCTTGCGGAGAGCCTCCCCAGGTTCGATCCTTCAACCTCTCCTACATAACAAAGTTGAGGCTGAACCTGGTACCATTGAACCACGTGGTTCAATGGTACCAGATTCAGCCCGAACTACGCTAAGGTGGTAGTGGTTGCGGGATCGAATCTGGGGAAGTTTCAAAAGACCCCCGTGAGGGTGGGGTGAGGAATAACCACTGTACCACCAGTGGGAAAGCCGGCATCACCTTGTGAGAGGGAAGTGTCCAGTGCCTGGGAAAAGATCCTGGAGAGACAGTGGTGACCCAGGAGGGCTGTTATATGCTCTTCTCTAATATCCTTTATAATGCTCCAACATCTTAATTTCCTTTTTTATTTTTTTTATTGATTTTTATATAAAATAAGAGACATTTGGATATTTTGATGTTTCAAAATGGTAAAAATTTATATTTTTTATAATTTTTTAAAGAAAAATATCATAAATACACTCTTTTATTTTTAAAAAATCATAAAAAATATAAATCTTCACCATTTTGGGACATCAAAATATTTAAATATTTCTTATTTTGTATAGAAGCCAATGATTCAAAAAAAAAATTGGCATATTAAAACATTATAAGAGATATTAAAAAAAGACACATTAAAGGTTCTTAATCCTTTGAGATGGTAACTTGCCAACTTCTTAACCAAGCAAACAGGCTATTTACATATTTCAAAGAGGAGGCCATCGTCCTTTTGTTTGCAAGCTCACGATTTTATCATGAAATGTTACGTATATTATCTTTTAGGCCGAAAATATTATGTATGTTATCTAGAAGGGTCTAATTCACATATTAAATAGAGATATCAACAAAAATGTATTTCTTGTTTTAGTTGTTTAAATTAAATACTGAATATTATTAACTATTTATAGAATAAATTGATAAAATTTTATTTTTATTTTATGGGTCATAATCTTTCGATAATGAAATAAGATAAGATAAATTTTAAATTTAAATCATCTTAGTTCATTTTAAACAAAATTTAAAAAGAATAAGGAAGCCACAGTAATGTATTGAGGATAGGTCTTGAGGATAAATTATAGGAAAAATTACAACATCATTCTTATAAAATATATAAATGATAATTTAATCTCTTGAAATGTCATAATCTCTCTGAAGTCTCTACAGACTTTTCTATCATTAATAAATTTATATAAATTATCAAATTGTTCTTGCTAAAAATAAATAATTCGCAACTTTTTTCTTATATTTACAATAATGTAACAGTAAATAAGAAATTTAAATGCAAAATTGTGATTTGTTGTTGTATTGTTACAAATATAAGAAAAAATTGTGAGTCATTTATTTTCAACAAGAGTAATTTGATAATTTACATAAATGTATTAATAACAGAAAAGTCCCTCAAGACTTTAGGAGAATTATGATATTTTAAGGGACTAAATTATCATTTATATATATTTTAAAGAGATTTTATTATCATTTTTTAAAATTATATCGTGTATATTTATATAAAACAAGAATACCACGTGTAATCTATACAAAACAGGAAATATTATCTAAAATTAATGACAATAATCACAATCAATATAATAAAGTCAACATACTTGAAATGGAAACTATTCTTCTGGAAAATTATGAGTAAATTATAAACTCATACTTAAATTATAGTAATAGATATATTAATTATTAATTATTAATTAATTAGAATTGTAAGCTAGATATTTGATTCGCATGTGAATAGTTGCCAGTTTGAGGTATGTCATCACTACGGTTTTCGCTTAATATATCAATAAAATTCTCATTTAATTTATAGGAGATAAATTCTGATTTAGTTGGGAATTTTTTAAGCGTAAGGACGAGTTGAAATAGTACTTATATCTAAGTTAATTATTAATTAATCAAGGGCAGACTGGTTAGGAAGTGGCCTTATTCATCTAAGTTTATCTTCATCTGTTCAAGTTTTGCTCTTTGATGGATCAATTCCTATTGTGCACAACATGCTTTATCTGATACTGCCGTGCAAGTCAACAATATTCAAAACTAGTATTTCTCTGCAGCAGCATTCACAAGCTTCAGATTTAACATCGTCATCCTTGACATTAATCATTTGCTCTGTAAGTTTGAACATCATCTCTATCAAGTTGTCCAGGAAGATTTCTTTTACTTTGTTTTTAAACTCTCCTTAGTTGTATTGTAATGCTCTACCTTTATTTTTTTTTACTGTGCATTGATTAACTTTTGTCATAATATCAAAAGAAGAAGAAGAAGAAAGAGAAATAGTAGTTACATAACATGTAATAGTATTATTAGTTGATCATTAGCACAGTCTGACAACTTTTCTAATGATTTTTTTAATCTTCACTTTTCTATTGATTAATACCTGGTCAATAAGTGCAGTTATAACTAAACACGATACAATACAGCGTGGTTAAATAAAAACAGTGTCAATTATTTTATATTATTGAACTTTAAGATGTTAGTTAGTTTTTTTTAATAATACTTCAAAGACAAAATTGATTTTCAATCTAAAATCAATAAGAAGTTAACAGTCAGCGTCAATATCATTATTCAATGAACAACTCTGACACTTAAAACCTCATATTCCTCTAGTACATAACTTGGAATAATAATTCATTCTAACCCTTGAACAAAAATATAAATATAAATTGATATTAGAGTACCAATGATGTAAGACATATCACACAAGCTTGGGGCACTCAACCACTTGAACTATCTATATGATAATCAGATTGCTCAACTTTAAAATTACTTCACCGCCGAGTACTAGGAGCTAATTTGATTGACAAAGCAAGATTAATTACGCTATGGCTGGTGTAACTCCAAACTAGGATTTTGGTGGTCTAAATTGAGATTTGGATCTTAAAAGTCAAATTTGATTCAAACAAAAAAAATCCATTCATGTAAAAAAATATAGGAAAATGACTTTTGACTCGAACTCAATGATAGGATAGAAGATTTTATGTTTTTTTTTTTTAGCATGACAATATATATTAAGATACAAGGCAATAATTGTATTGCAAAGAAATGTTACAGAACCAAAGCATTAAAGAACGACCATGCACAAGAAGAAACTAAATACTAAGGAGAAGACATCCTCCTGGAACTTTCATGTTTATTTATCAAGATATAAATCATGTTAAATTGGTTTTTTAAAGAAAGAATATCCGAACAGTAACCAATTTTTGTAACTTTAGTTTGCAAACTTTGATTCTAAAAACTTCAATTTTACAAATTTTAATCCAAAACGCACGAAAGAAATCGGCTGCTATAGATATTTGAGACAGATTAATCAAAAAATTGATGACCAAACCTTCTTCTTCTTCTTCTTCTCCTCCTCCTTCTCTCTCTCTCTCTCTTGAAGTCGATAGATTTTGTGAGTTTCATAATGAGATGCATTAGAGAATAGAGACAAAGGACGATAAAAGTGAACAAAAACCTTCATGAAATTCGTGAAAAAGATTTGGCTAAAAGTTTATAAAAAATGGCTGGGCTAAAAAGTCAGGCCCAGATTGAAATAACAATTGCTAGAGGCCTAGAGCCATACACTACCCCTTGTACTTATCAGGTATCGGCTCAGACAGTTTAAGCATAAATGTCTTTGAGAGAAGTATTTTCAACTAGACCCAAAAATACTTGAATCTAAGTTGATTAAGCAGTCATAAAGAAAACAACATTTTCCATTCTAATTTATAAAATAACTTTGAAGGTGATTTAATGTTATGAAATATAAGATATTTTGATGAAAATAAAATTTTATTAATGATGATTATTTTAATATTACTCATATTTATTTCACACATTAAATAAATTATTTCCATTTCTCTCTTATTAACAGAGGGTGTTTTTGAAAACTTACAGAAAAATTAACATTAAAAATTGTATTTAATAAATTTTATTAGTTGTGTAATTGTACAAAAAATACTTTATAAATTGAGATGAAGGGAGTGTAATATAAGTGAGAATGTTTGAAATTTTAAGACTCAGAAAACTAAATAATTTCGTGATAGCCAATATTTTCAAATGTCAATAGATAAATCTAGGAGTGGTGATGATGATGATTTTGAAAGCACGTGGATGATAATAATTAATAATGTGAGAAGTGCTAGGTGCAAGAGAATTTGGAGAATAACAAACACAATACTCAGTCATATAGATTTGTTAAATTTTACTTTTAATATTTATAATTTTTTTAATATTTTTAATCTTTATAAAGATTAAAATTATTAAAAAATAAAAATTATAAGGACTTAAAAATAAAGATCCCTTAATATTTTTAAAATTATAAAAATTAAAAATATTAAAAAAATTATAGAGATTGGAAAACAAAACTCGATAAAATTATAAAGATCAAATATTATATGTTTTCTTTGAAAAAATCCATCAAAGAGAGCTTAAATTTTAGAGAAAATAGTAACTAAGGACCGCTGAACAAAATTTATATCAGTTAAAAATTATTTGTTATCAAAATTTAAATAAAAAATGAATCCAAATAAACTGTTAATTTAAAATAAGTTACTATTAAAATCTAAATGAATACTTATTCATAAAAAATTAACATAAATAATTAATTCTTGACTAATACTTCCTCCGTTTAAAAATGTAAGATCTTTTTTGAGGAGTTTGATATTAAAAAATGTAAGACATTTTTAGTCTTTTAAGGTGTAATCATTATCTTTTTTTAAAAAAATGCCCTTATTGATAGTAATTTTATATTTATTATAGGATATTTAATAAGGATAAATAAAAAAATATGATTAGTTTAAAGACATTTTTAGTCTTTTAAAGTGTAATCATTATCTTTTTAAAAAAAATGCCCTTATTGATAGTAATTTTATGTTTATTATAGGGTGTTTAATAAGGATAAATATAAAAAAGATATGATTAATTTAAAAGTAGATAATTACTTTATTAAAAAATAAAATTTAATTTAAAATATTTTATATTTTTTAATAAAAGAGTATATATTTTCTTTAACGGTCCTGATTGTTATTTTTAAAATTTTGGGTTGGCTCCGGACGAAGGGCGCTTTTAGTTTGGAATTTTGGAAAATAGAAATATTAAAAAATTTGAAAATCTCTCTCTTGTCTTTCTCCCGCTTCCATGTCTGCCTCTGGCGCCTCCTTTTCAAAATTCTCCATCTTACTCTTTTTCGTTTCATCTCTTTCACTTCCCTCTATCTATTCTGTTTATCTTCCTTCAACCGCTTTTCTTTCTCTTTTCCTCCTTGCTCCCTCTGGATCTCCAAATAGCGGTGAAGCTCGTTGGCGATGGAGCTCGCCTTCACGTCGGATCAGAGTGACAAGGAGAACGCCCCTCCGCTCCTGCAAAGAGGCTCATAACTCCCACTGCTCTGTTCTTCAAGAACAAGAGCAGAAGCAGGCTCAAGCTCAATAGGATCCCTCTCGCTGATATCACCAATGTCTTCATCGATTCCGCTTCCCAACATGCCGTCTCTGCGACTCGTCCTCCTCCTCTATCAATTTTGCCATTGTTCAATTCTCGTCGCAGAACAATGACGGTTTTCGATTCAACGCGTGGGATCTGCTGTTCCAAATCCTTGAGGATGGGATTCAGATAGATATATACGCTCATACGCATATTCACTTCTATTTTCGCTCTTTAATCTTTACAGAGTTTATAATTCTACAGAGGAATTGGAATACATAGAACCTGAAGTTAGTGAGTCCCATTTTCATGAAATTAGAAGGATTTGTGAATCAGAGTTCCTATTGGTTATCTTCTTTTGGAAAAACAATAACTATGAACCCCATAAAAATATTAATAAAAATTATAAATATTGAATTATTAAAATTTTAATAATAGATCATATTTCTTTTTCATAATAAATAAATTATGTTTTATGGATTAGTTTAAGATTTACGATAAATTTTAATAGATTTTAACTAATATTACAAAGATTTTTAATTATTTTTTGTTAATTTTAAAAGCTATAATAAAAAATTACAAATAATTGATTAGGATTTAAAATTAATTTTTAGAAATTTTCAACTACTGTTACAAATAATTTTAAACATATTTATAAATTTTTTAAGCAATTTATTTATATATTAATGGAAAAATTTATAAATGATTGATTTACAACTCACAATTGATTTTTTAAATTTTTAATTAGCATTGCAAATAATTTTTAGCATATTTTTTAATTGATTATTTGCATTTTTTAAATTGTAAGTAAGAATTATGATTTATTATTAATATTTCAATAATTTATGATTTGTCAGATTTATATTTCACTTTTTATAAATTCTCTGACTTTTTTCTAATCAAGTTAAGTGCGAGCTATTTTGGGGAGAGGGTTTAAACACGATTTTTCCAAAACGAGTATCAAAGTACAATTTAAAACGGGCTGTAAATTCAAAATTTGAATCAAAGTGAAACTTAATGAAAACAAGGTTTAAATATTAAAATGCACAGGAGTTCGTGAACACAGTGTTGGGGAGCTCGAAGTATGTAAGAGGATGACAACATAGAATGGCGTGGATTTGCAAATAGAACAACAAAGAGCTGCTTATATTATACAGGATTTTAAAGAACTTAATCATAAGTTGGTAAATATCTTAAAGGTTTCATTTTAAGGATTTTATGTAAGTGACAAATGAGGCTTGTAGAAGTCCTGCTTCTTATATATATATATATATATATATAAGCGTTGAGCTAATAATAATCCTTGTAAATTTTGTGTCAGCTTCAGTAGGGTAGTATTTTTTTTTTTTCATTTATTCTATTGTCTTACATTTTTTAGTGGCTATTGCTTCCAATGAAAGATAAGTGTATAAATTTAACTATAAATAATTTTGTAATAAGTATTACATAACCTGTATTATATGTTGATGTAAAATAAATCATAAGTTATGAAAAATGTAGTGGTTGACATCTTTCCACCTATATGAGTAAATGTCAATTTGTTGACTAACTATTTGACTTAAAAATACACTTGCAACTCATTGAAGCACTATTCTTTTAACCCTTCCTTCTTCTCTCTTCCTGAAGCACCAACTCCTTCATCATCATCCTCATCTATTGTCCTCATCTACGTAGCAAGAGGAGGGTGTGGCCTGGGACATTTTTGAGACAACAAAAGAAGCAACGTGAGCGTACCATCAAGCTTGCTTCTGTGAATCGTTGAAATAAGCAAGCACGGTGATAACAACATTTTTAATGGTTTGACTCGAAAATGCTTTAGTCACTTCTTTCATTTTTTGTAAGAATCATGGAGGAGATATCTTCATGAGGAAAATGTTTCTCCTTGCCTTTATAATGAATGACAATCGTGGGCTTGTTGTGGGTCTCGAGAACAACCTTTAAAGACCAAAGTTTTATGTCATTTTAAATAGGGGCGTTGCAGAATCTCTATCCAATGAGCCATTTCATGTCAAACATGGTGTTCTGTGAGCTCATGGCTACTTGATTCTTTGTTGCATCGCTGATTAAATGCTCTGTATCAACGAAAGCTACATAAGAGTGGTTCTATTACCTTGACCATTTGCAACGACATCAATGTGATCATTTTGCCACATACCAAAACAACTGTAGGTGGTACCGAGGTTAATGTTGATGGCCTTTTCAATGGTGAACACCATTGGAGGGTGGTAAAAAGAGTCCTTAAAGTGCTAGATCATTGTGTGTCTGTGTGGTTTGACGACGACGACGACGATACGGTGGGTTTATGAAAAAGAAGCCCCTTTTGACCATACTCGAAATTATGAAACGAAATCCTATGGATTGAGATCAATTCATCTAGGCAAATCACCATTATTGACATCGCTTCGTGCTTGAATTATAATATTAGATATCATTCATATCACAGCCAGGGGAGGATTTGAGTGTTGTTCTTGTTCTTCTATGGTTGCTAGCTTTGATATCCCAATTCAGAGCAAGAGAGAGACGAACATTCTTTGTGGTGTCAACTTTTTCACATAGGCCCTATGAAATGGTCAGTTTTTAAAAGTAAATGGAAGGTGTCAGGTGCTCTAATTTTATGAGTTTGTGATTTATTTTATATCACTTAATAATATAGATTGTCCAATATTTTTTATAAAATAGTTTATGATTAATTTTATACTTTTACGCTAAAATAAATGATCATTTGAATTTGCAAGAATTTGAATTGGCTTTATAAAATCTTTTTGACTATTGAAAATTTTTTAAGGTTGAGTGACTACGAGTTAAACAATTTTGGCTAACAGTTTGAAATAATTTCACAAGCTCATTTACATCTTCAATCTTTGTTTTTTATTTCTCTTCTTTCAAGACTTTTATTTAATTATACTTTGATTAAGTTCAATCATAATTAGAATATTATATTAATCTATCGCCTGAGAAAATCTATCTAGTGTAAGAAGAAGCTAAAACAAAAATCCGTTTAATTAACTTAACTTGGACCAATAATCACCGGTAATTGAAATAAAAAAAATTAGTCTAATTTTATTAATTATAGCCCTATCCTTTTAAGAGAGTTCAAGAGTCTGGATTAAAAGTAATAATTATCTCTCACATTTAGTGTTGGAAGAGATTTTAATTGAAGTATATTCTAAATAAGCTAGTTAATTATCTTAAAAATTACATACTCATTTCATATCCACTCTTATTTAATAAAATGTTTCAATTAAAATAATTTATTAATTGCACCTTCTAATTAAAGATATATTAAACCAAACTTATTAATTCACTTTAAAATTTTAAAATGTCTCATATTTTTTTAAAGAAAACATAATTTTTAATCCATGCACCTTGTTCGTGTTTTATTATAAATCTTTATACTTTTTTTATATTTTAAATTTTTATACTTTTATTTTTTGATGTTCTATACTTCTAAATGAATAAAATATAAGGGCTTTAAAGGACCTAAAATATTAAAAAATAAAAGTGTAAAGATCTATAACATAAAAAAAATATAAAGATCTATAACAAAATATAAATAAAATGTAAAATTAAAAATTATGTTTTTTTTAAATGATGCTTTTTTAAAAAAATAGAGGAAGTAAGTAATTTAGTTTAAAACAATTAATGTGAGAAGCGCTGGAATAGAAGAGAAAAGATTTGGAGGAACCTTAAATTTTGGGTTGGCTCCTTTGAAGGTGGCGCCAGCGCCCCTAGCTTAGGATTTCAGAATAGGAATCTAAAAACGATGCTCTTAAATTTTGGTTCAAAATGAAAATAATTAACTTTCGGCTTTCGCTCCCTCTCATTACTATAGTAGTATTTTTTATTTTTGTTTAAAAAAAGCATGTCTCTGACTCTTTCGTTCATTTTGGCCATTTTTTTTTTAAATTGAAAATCTCCCTCCTGTCTTTTTGTGCCTCGCTCCCCCTCAGTCATTCTGTTTCATTTCTGATTTCTCCCACCATTCACATTCCCTGGCGCCTTCCCATCAAAATTTTCCATCTCTTTCACTTCCCTCCTCCTTCCTCTTTTCAAATCTCCACTCCGACCACATTCCACCCCCCCTTCCTATCATATTTATGTCACTATGCTTCATCTTTCTTCCATTGCTTCTCTTCTTCTGATTCCTCCCCATCCTCCTACGCCCTTCTGTTTCTCAGACTCAAACAGCAAGGAAGCTTGTCGGCGGCAATGGAGGAGGTCACCGTCGCGTCGGATCAGAATAACAAGGAGAACGCCCCTCCACTTCCTACAAAGAGCCTCATACCTCCTGTTGCTCCGTCCTTCAAGAAGAAGAGAAGAAGACGGCTCAAGATCAACAGGATCCCTCTCGCCGACATCACCAATCTTCTCGTTCACTCCGCTCCAGAAAATGGCGACTCTTCCGTGCCTCCTCCTCTATTCATTTTGCCGCCCTCTAATTCTCGTCCCAGAACTGATTCACCGCATCGGATCCGCTGTTCCAAATCGTTGAGGATGGGATTCAGATAGATAGATAGATAAATATATGCTGTGATCCACACACATCTATTTTCAATTTTTGCCAAGAGTTTATAATTTGACATTCGAATAACAACATCCGGGGGTTGCAATTCACTGATAAAATTTGAATGAAGATCGGAAAATTCATAATTCGTTGTTTCATTTTACTGTTTGAATGAAGTTCATCGACTCATTAATGTCTTCCGTTTGAGTTTACGAATTCGGGTTTCTTGAGATCAATCTTCTCCCATTGCCTCTCTTTTGTCAGGAGTTTTATTTTATAATAATTATTATTACACGTTAATTAAGACCAACCGAGTATCGGCATTTATATCAATATAGTAAGTTGCTTAGAAAACCAATCCAGGGTAATAAAAAATGAAAAGGAAAAAATGTTCAGTCCAGCTTTGACCAAATAATGGGGATTACATTCAGTAATCTAATGATTACGGGTGATAATTGGAATAAATTTTTGCCTGAGTGTTTTATTTTGTGAAAAAAAGTGATGTTGATATCGTTTTTGTAATATTAGGGGGTCTTCATTTGGCTATGAGCCATTATGTAGAAGGAAGACAAAAGATTCGAAAGTTAAGGGCAGAGAGAACTCGAAACTAAAAAAATTAGAAGAGGTTGGCCCCTTTTTGACACTTGCCTGCCCTATCAAAATCAGAAAAATTAACTCAAATATATAGCAACCTAACAATCGGATTGGA